AGAATTTCCCCATTGTGGGATTAATAAAGTCTAATCTAATCTAATCTAATGTGGATTCCCAGCTAAAACGGAACAAGTTGGGCAAGAATGTTCTTACTGTAACATTAATGGAACGTTACTTCCATGTTTTACAATTTCTAACAAAGGTTCTGTAACTGTCAGGCCAATAACATTATTATTGGAACATCCTTTTAATGCAATTATCATTGATAAATAAAAGGATTATTTTAGAAAAGTACAATATGTGTATATTGCAAATACACCATCCAGCCTCAAACCCATGACCTCTGAAGTGTAAGGTGACTCGCTGTGTTACCTGTTGCTTTACCATGCCCTACGTTTCTTTTGATATTATTATTCGTAGTTGTGTTAGTTGGATGACGTTCTAGGATCATCCGGAAAACTGGACACTTTGAATGTTTCCCTACCTTAATCGTAACATTCGGTAAACGTGTCTAGAAGGAAAAACTGTTTGGCGGGGTTGCCTGAGAATGTGGGTAGTATCATATGGCTTTTGAAAGAACAATACAAAATGCAGTAAAATTTAAGTATTTGTGGAATGTGTTTCTAATGTCATTGCTTATCCAGTCTTAAAAACTTGGGTATCTGTGTTTTCTATCAAAGACTGACCCTGAGTTGCCCTCTTTTCAGCCCCAGGCATTGTGTCCTGATCTGGCAAGTGCCTTTAAGCAAGCCAGGTGACTGTAGCTTAATTCTGGTTTTTGTGGCATTTGTGGCTTGGCGCTGTCTCTGCTAAACTGATATTCCGCAGGCTTGAAAATTAAAAAATCTCCAAGCTGTGTTTGTTCACATCCATTTTGTTGAGTTTTTACATAATGTGGTTTTAGTCATCATATCACGATATAATTAAGTAATTTAGTAATTAAATAATTTGGTTAATTAGGTACAGGTTAAGTAACAAATTACCCTCTCACTTTGAACTTCAAATAAATTTGATTATTTCTTATTGTAACTGTAGCTCATTTGCAGCATATTTCATCTCCAGCCCACAGAAAGGACCTTGCTGATTTTATTAAAATTCATCAAGGCTTTCTTCTTCATATCGAAGTAGCAGTACTATATAATGACAATACTACCTCCCTCTGTATTGACACAGGGTCAACCAGGACCGTTGGGTCCACAGGGCCCGGTCGGGCCACAGGGGTTTGTGGGAAGCCAGGGGGCACCGGGACCCAAAGGTGAAATTGGCCACATGGGTCTCAGGGGCCCATCTGGACCTAAGGGAGACAAGGTGGGTCTTATGGACACGATCATTCTGTTTGTGTGTGTGTTTTTTGACAATCATCATTAGTGTTATGTACAGTATATTTACATTTCAATAATGTTTGTATTTTCTCTATTTCAAAATGTCTGTGTGTGTGTGTACATCTGCAGGGTCCAATAGGAGTGCCCGGCTTTTCAGGAACAGATGGCATTCCGGTGAGTTTGCCATGGAGACTATTAACAGGAGGAGCGGACCGTAAACAGTGCTACGATAAGTCTGATTACCCTTCGTATGAGGACGATATACAGAAGAGGAAATGATGGCTGTTATATAAATAGGTTTCCTCGCTACCTCCGGTGTTCCCCTGCCAGTTAGTGGGCTCATGTCGTCCTTTGCAGGGTCACCCAGGGCAAGAGGGAGGACGGGGCCTTCCAGGGCTGGATGGCTGCAATGGCACCATCGGCGATCCAGGTCCTAGGTCACTGGATGGGTATCCAGGCCCACCAGGTATTCCTGTAAGTGCCGAGGGGCCGCTACACCCGACGATGCCTTGGGACAACACGGGCCTTTCTTAACTCATCTTCAGTATCTTTAATACTACTGACTATCATTCCACATGCTGATGTAAAAGGCAGCTTAGCTTTTACCATTATTTGGATGACAGTATATCTTATCTTGTATATTGTGACCAGCAGCAGTGTTTACCACTGCTCAACCATGCATTTGTATGGGGCCCCCTGTTGACCACTAACAGTCACTGCACTAAATATTAAATAAACATGTTCCTAATTTAGGAGATGCTGAAATGGCGAGTTCTGCAAACCAAATAACTAGCTTCAATATTCTTACTCTGCTCACTAGCTATTTATTTAGTTTTTGAAACATCTGAGACCTCAGTCAATGGCTGGGTATTTTGGCCTATTCAACTCTAATGATGAGGATGTATAGTATTATATGAGAAAAATACATACATAGAAAACAAAATCGATGCAGTCATGGGGAAATGTGCTGTCTGCTTCTGTTCTTCAGGATCCTTTTGTGCTGCATGTTCTTGTTCTGTTTTTTTCCCCACAGGGTCCAAAGGGTCCCAAAGGCCAAAAAGGAGAACCTGTCTATGTTGGACAGGACCATGGCATCAGGGTAATGGTTTTTAATAATTTTACATGTTGCTGAGTGACATTTGTGGGGGGGGGGGGGTTTGTTTTGTTTTAGCTTTTGAGGAAGGAGATGTGGGTGGTTTTGTTGGGAGATATCCGGGAAGTGAAGGTTTACATCAGTGTGACATCCATAAAATAGGCCCAACGGCAGTAAAACAGCAACAGAACTGTACTGTTAAACATGAAAAATGTCTTTTTTTCTCCTGAAGAGTTTCATAAGCATTGCCAGTCTATTGTATTATGTATGGTATAGTATGTTATATATTTGAGTTCTTTGTATATTGTGTATCCTGTTAGGTTAATGTTTTCCGTATAGTCTTAATATTCTCTGTAACCAGTTCACGATAGCAGATTCCTTTGACATGAAATGACCCTGGCAAATAGTCTGATTCCAACTATGTTGGTCATAGATGCTGGTCTGTAATTTATAGACACTGAGGCTATGTCCATCACAGGCCACAGGCCTGTGTAAAAATGAGTCACACCTGGAACAGAGCCCTTGTCATGGGCAGGGCTGACAGCAGTGATCAGGGCAGCCCCCGCATGAGGCTCCTGTGTCCTGACCTCCAGACTAATGGGAAGCTGTCGTCTGCTCTTCACAGGGGGAGCCTGGTTTACCTGGACTGGATGGCCTTGCCGTAAGTGGGCTGTGTGGTTTTCACCTGTTTAAACATTTAAAAACAAGAATGGATCCTTAAGACCATTTGTACATTCTAGAAGACTTCTGATATCTCAAGTTATGCTAACGTTTATGTTATCCTAATTATGGTATCTTTGTGCAATAAATATGTAAAATAGTTTGTTGTCCAAATGTGTCTATTTACCAAAACTAATATCATAGTGACCACAAGACCAAGGCCCAGGGGACTTCTAAGAGTTCAGCATCTTTCTCACGCTTATGGTGTGTTTCACAGCATCATAATCCTTGGGTCGTTCTTCCAGGGTCCTCGTGGTACCATTGGACTACCAGGTCTTATCGGACCCCAAGGCCCAGACGGATTTCCAGTATGTATCATTGTCTCAGCTGGTAGCTCCAATTTTTTTTGTTTATTTTTATAGACTGTTTAGTTACTGTAGCAACGATAACATTTTTAAAAAACTGCCTCCCTAAAGTTATTGTTAAATGATAAAAATACAGCAGTGTATTTCACAGGTATACATGCAAGTATCCATGTTATATTGTTATTGTAGTTGAAGTTACTTGTTAATCGTTTGTGAGCTTCCTTTTAGATACTTCTTACATTTGTGGTCTTTGCTTGAATCTGTCCAACCTTTCTGCCTTTCGCAGGGACAGCCTGGCCCTCCAGGGCCACCCGGCCTCACAGTAAGTGCTCAGGCAGTGAAGGGGTTGCAGGCTGGTGCTGGGGGTTGTACAGAAGGGGGTTCTTTTCAGTCTGGAATGTGTGATGACTTCTAGTGTGTTGTCGCCCCTACTGCCAGTTATTACAAAAAGTTCATCAGCAGCATTGTTAGGGGCTATTGTCTTCCTCTACAAGTGTGGGTGCACTAATAGAGAATGCGATAAAGTACTTCCCCTGCATATTTTCTATTGTTTGTTGCAGACTTTGTGATTCCAGCAGTCCCTTAGCATCATTTTAAACTAACACTGTTCTGGCTTTTCATGTTTTAAATGCATATGGGTTACTAATTACAACATAAAGGGCATGAAGCTGTCACAGTAACCACAAGTGTCCGTGATTGTTTTACAGGGAAGCCCTGGATCTGGTTTCAAGGGGGAAAGAGGAGAAAAGGTAACAAGACTTAACTAAAGACTGACTCTTCATTCACATCAAAAAACAGTGACTTGTACCTAGTGTCCTTGGCGAATGCTCATCAAATCTGTAGGCTAGTTAGTTTAAAGTATTTTTTAATTTTCTGATGTATAAAAGCCCCAAACCTCTCTATAAATATATTTCCCAGACAGCGTTTCATTTTGTGCTCCTCATTTCCACATTTTGGTGCCACCATTTCTCTTTGACTCTCCAGTTCCAGTTGTTGGACTGCTTTGTTCTCATTAGTACAGCACTTGGAGACTAAAAGCCTTTGGCCCTTTCATTGGAGAACCTTATATATGGGTCAGTTTACATGACACCAGGAGCTTGTGCTTTTCTCTGTTTAACTGCTGTAATTGCCTATATCTGGGCATGCAGATGCTCTTGTTAATAAATGGTTATAATGCAAATTGCTTTATTTATGCTTGTAATAAATTTCAGATTTATACATGTTTCCTACATCTACAAGGTATGTTTAATTTCTTGGAGTCCTGTTCCAATTATAACAGAAAATTTCTGAATTCCAGGGGGATCCTGGTCTACCTGGACCCCCAGGAATGCAGGGGGACACAACACTAGTAGCTGCACCTACAAGTACCATCTTCAAAGGACCCAAGGTAACTAAGGAGTAGTCTCAGCTGTGAGAGAACTTGCACCCTCAGTCATTTAGCAGATCGGGGGAAGTAGGAATGAAGTGTGAACATCACTAAGGCAACCTTCAACATCCAGTGTCCATTTTTAGCGGTGTATAGCCCAGTAGGTTTGGGATCTGTCCCCATGTGTGGCAGATTGTGGGCTTAAATCCCATGGCTAACAGTGTAATCATATCTTTGTTGGGCCCTTCAGGAAGGTATTTAATCCCAGGTCCTCTATGTTCCACACAAAACCATCTGTAAATAAATGTATATGTAATGAAACAAAAGCAATATGAGAATATTCTGCATTCTCCACTTCCTGCTGTTCCCTTCACATCTGCTGAGATTTATACTTCTTAGAAAGTACATCTGGTTATTGACAGACATGGTGGGCTTAAGTGAATGTGCAGTGGGCAAGCTGAAGCTTGTGAAGTCTAGAAATTCCTCAAATTCTGCAAACAGTAGACAAAGAATAAGAGACAGTAGTGTATGGCCTGTTCCTCGGTTCTCTGGTCTCCACGCTCCGTAGACAAGCTATGCCTCACAAATCCTGTACAATGTCCTTGGTGATTGTCTCTACGGAACCATGTGATTCTTGGTTGGTCTTTAAGATGAAGTGCAATGGAATGAAAATTGAACAAATTAGCTTTGCGATATATGTAGCCCATGTTCAAAAGCTGAGGTCAACTGTTGGTGTGGGGACAGATAGCACATCCATTATGAATTTAGTAGTTGACTGAATAACTATTTGAGCCCAAACTGAGTACGCAGTTCTGGATAATGGCTGGAGCATTGCGTTCCCCCTTTTGCCAGCTATCCTCACATTACCTCTGTTTTACCTACAGGGTGACCAAGGCTTCAGGGGGTTTCCAGGTGTGCCCGGATCTCCAGGACTGCCGGTAACTTTCTCGTTATGTCTGCTCCAGCTATAAAGTATTTGGAAAGTATTTGCTGTGGCCTAGCAGACATCATATCAAACGTACCCTCAGACCTGATGTGTGATGTTTAGGGACCTTTCGGATATCCTGGTGAGCCAGGCGAGAAGGGCATCCTTGGGTTGCCTGGAGGACGGGTGAGTCCCCTTTTAGAAGCCCATGCGATGTAACTGCCAGCATGATACACAGATAATACTGCAGAAATGGATGGAGACCCAGGCTTACAGTTGCATTCTCCGCTTCCTCATCTGATTGGTTCACAGCTGTGTTTATAGAATTTTTGCACTGTCTTGCTTGTTCAGGTTCTCTCCAGCAACCTTACATTTTTGTATAGTAGCAAGTAAATATAGGTGTTTATACCAGCTAGTGACAGCATAGGTGCTGTAAAGGGTGGTGAAGTTCCAAGGGTCCCTGAGTGACAGGGGCCTTAAAAAAATTGAAATATATTGGGAGCCCAATATTAAATGCTTTCATTGGGCCCTGGGATTTCAGTTGGTCATTTCTCCTGTCCCTCCCCAGGGTGATCCTGGCTTGTCTGGACAGCACGGACCTGCCGGCAGAAAGGTGGGCCAGTAATGCCTCCTTGGACATGAATCTTTCCCCCTCGCTGCCCACATGTTTATGATTGGCTGGATGTGTGTATTGTCCTAACACAGGGAATAGCAGGAACTCCAGGATTCCCTGGAGAGCCAGGATTTCCAGGAGTTAAAGTGAGTGACACGCTGGGTATTTTTACGCATTCGCACCTTTTTGTAACCTAGAGGACGTCCCACTGGTAAATCCACATGACTTGAAAGTGCTCTTGGCTCCAGTGAGATGTGTCTGATATGAAGTGAGCACTTTTGCACAGCTGCTGAGTGTGTATTGGTTTGATTTCAGGGAGAGCAGGGAGATCCTGGCTTCCCCGGACCTCCTAGCTACCATGTTGGACCACCTATTCAAGGTAAGTATGGCAACCAACCTGACTCATGATCCCCCCCCCCCCCATTATAAAAGCCTTATTTTAAGACGACCCACATTCCAAATTAAGCAGGCAATGTTTCTTGTTGGTTACCTCAGCATCTTTAACTAGATTTAAATTGAAACTTTTTTTTTTTTTCTTTTCTGAAGTTGTCTTTTAAACTTCATTTAATTTCATTTGCACCACTAGTGATCCTTAGCCAAGACCAACACATACAACATAAAATACAATGTCTTGGTATCTTATTCTCATGTCAATGGCTATACGCTCACATGACCTGTTCCATTGCTACCTTGTCACTGGCTGAAGGTCCCCTTGGGGACCCGGGCATCGATGGTGCCCACGGTCCACCTGGTGATATGGGACCCATTGGCTTCCCAGGCCCATCGGGGCTACAAGGGGCCCCTTCTTTGCACTCAGGTAATGCTCCCTACTAGAACGCATTAACATAATGACTGAAAACTGATCAATGCTGTTGATGTTCCACCTATTGATGCGCATCTGTCTCTGCCCTTCTGCCTCCACACCTCAATGTCCAATGATTGACGTCAGGTCCCCAGGGACAACAGGGCTTCCCAGGTCTGAAAGGGCTCAAAGGGGAGAAGGGAAGCCCGGGACAGTCAGCCTATGGCCCTGAGGGTTTGCCGGGAAGCATTGGATTGCCAGGCCTGGGTGGGCCTCCAGGTGCACCGGGTCTACCAGGTGCGTACTATTTAATGGACTTGTCTAGAGGGTGAATTCCTTGTTCGTATAGTGGACCTGGTTACCACCGGCATGTCGGTGCATGTCAGAGTAATGCGCAAAACCCCCATGAGCATCAGAATATGTCCGACATGTGACCTGATGCGCCGGCTCTGTTGCCCTTAACCATACTCCTGAAAGCACAAAGAACCTCAAAAGACCTTATGCCCAAAAATGGCTTCTCCTATTTTGATGTTGAACAGAGTACAGTGGTACCTCAGAACTTGAATTTAATCCGTTCAGAACTCCGGATCGAATCCTAAAAAGTTCGAGTTGTGATCGAATTTTCCCCATAAGAAATAATGGAAAACCAATTAATTGGTTACCGGCCCCAAAAAATTACACCTAAATGTTTTTTTTTTTGTTAGCATTTAAACACAAAATGAACCTGATAAAACAAGAGCATATACTGTACTAAACACATCAAAGCACATTTATCAAAACAGTAATTTGTAAAGTAAGAAAATAAATGTATCCGAACAATGTGTAAAGTTAAAAAAAACAATGTGTCCTGCCCCGATCGTCCGCTCCTTCCGTGTGCCACGCCCCCTCATTAACCCCGTGTGGAATCCCGTGTGATCAGCTGTTTCTGGTTGTTGTCATTAGTCCTCTGTATTTAGTCCATGTTTCAGTTTGTGTCCCCAGTCCGGTCATTGTATTGTCCGTCTGCGTTTTGCCTGCCTCACTTGTAATTAAACCCCGTTTTTCCCGATACCCTGACGTCTGCGCCTTTGTCTCCATTCTGTTCTAGGCAGGATAATATTATTATAATTAAATGTATTAATGGTTTATTATTAATATTAAAATAATTAATAAGATCTTTATTTTTAAATGTATTATATAATAATTACTGTTACTGTCTATCATTGTCTAAATTGTTTCCGCTGAGAGACGTGCCGCGTGACTCATTTCCCCGCGCGTACAAGTTATCCTACATCGGCGGTCACAGTTTGATTTCTGAGATTCAGATTGAGTTCTAGCTAATTTTTTTTTCAAACTGGTTGGTTCGACTTTTAAAAAATTCGAGTTCTAATGAGTTCGAGAACTGAGGTACCACTGTATTAGGATCAAAGTGGTGAGCTCCCCCAAATGCAAGGGAGACTCTGGAAGGTAACCCGCAGAGTGTATATGTCTACATGTAATGGTCAATCCAAAGTGCCTTTCAATTAATCTGTTCAATGATATGCACTGTAGTTGTTCTTACAACTCCCAGAAAGGTATTTGAGACCACTTCTGTGTGGTTACAGTGGGTAATTTGCAGTATTTCACAACTGCCAAACACTGCTTTCGGGTCACATCCAAAGCCAGTCAAAATGTAAACACTACTAATCATTCATTACATACCACAGCAAAAAACTTTAAACTGCCAGCGAAAGCTGTTCCTGGAATATAGAGATTTTTTTTTTACTATGGAGATGCACTTTATTGAACCCAGGGAAAAACTCTTGTGCATACAGCAGGCAGGTTAGTGCAAACAAGTAATCAGTACAAACAAATGTAAATATGGTCATTGAGTTGGAGTATTGTAAACCAACTGCATGCAAGACTAAAAAAGAAGTATTTAGCAAAAATGTTTGTATACAACTATGCATAAAGGTATATGTAATGTTTGCAGTATTCAGCATTCCAAATGTGTTAAACGACAAAGTAAAATAAGAAATCCAAATAAAAGGCACTTGTATGATAACAAAGTCAAAGCATGCACTGATTACAGCACGTTGCCACGCCCACCACATAACACACCACCTCAGGGAAGAGAACCTGAGTGCAACCATGCAGCAAGCGATACCTCAGCACCACCATACTCTGAATTGACCAATGAGAGTTTTTTTTCTGGTGGCTAGAGTGCCAATCCTGCCACCAACCCCCAGGTTTTTCCCTCATCATGTCTCTGGGCTGGGTCAGGACAGAGGACTTTGTGTTGCAGGCTTAGCAGCAGGGGAAAATTTCTCTGTTGTGCTGCTTCCATAACTTGACATTGAAACTGTACTCTCCTATGGTGGTTTCCTTGTCATCTGACACACATTCTCTCTCCTGTTCACTCATTGGCTTCTTCCCACATTTAGAAATATGCATGAACAATTTTGAGCCATCGTATTTAAATGATTCCTGTGTGATGGTTCGGTTTACCCTTTGCGGCCCATCTTTTTTATTTCTTTTCACAGTGCATCATGACTGCAACCTAGAGGAGAAATTTGTGATCTTTGCTTGTGAATAGTGATGTATTTAAGGTTTTGCCAAGAAAGTGATGATTCGATCAGTGCGATTTGGCCTTTGGTAATTTTCTTCACAGAACCATATTTAGCGTGTTAGAAATTCAGAAAATGCTCTTCCTCAGATCCCTCAGGTGTCTACTTTTGTAAGGTTATTGTCTTTATCATGCTAACATATTTAGAAAAAAAAACATTACCAGTTACCCAAAAAGTTCATTTTAAAATATTAATATGCCTCGTAAAGTTAAGTATGAACTGCAGTCTTCTGTCACCAATTTCGTAATACACTTCACTGACCAACAATCAAAACTGATTTACAAGGTAAGAACAAAAGAAGTTAGATGTGGGTGTCAGGCTACATTTAATTATTGACCAAATAAGGACCTATGATGTGGTGCTGACATGGGATTTGCTGTTGGGGTGTTTGCATGCTGGCCCACCCCCTCAACTGTCTGATTCACTGTTTGGGTGCCTTTGTGCCCGCCCCCTTAGCGTACCATAGACCGCGCCCGATTGGAGAGTCTGGACCAAGAGGGACACCAGGGCTGCCAGGAAGCAAAGGAATTAAAGGTGAGTAAAAGGGCATGCTTACTGTGGATTTTTACTGGAGAACTTTAAATAACATGTTTACTGTAAATGATTAATAGCAAATTTTACTTTCTGCCTGTCTTACACTTAATTGCATCAGTTAATGAATTCTTGCCATCGCTAATATACCTTGTTGTCTGGCTACATAATTGCATATTTATTGACATATATCTAGTCTTTTGCCTACGTCTGAATGTTATGTTGACTATACAAAGGTCTGCTGTACAAATAAACCTCCTATACCATTTTCACTCATGAACTTTTCAGGAGAGCAAGGGGACTGCAGTTGTTTTGGAGGCGGGACTCTTGGACTCCAAGGACTTCCAGGAGAACAGGGTCCGTCTGGGGCACCTGGATCATTTGGCCGGAAGGGGGATGCAGGGAACCCCGGCTCACAGGGGTTCTCCGGACATTCTGGTCCAAAGGTAAGATAAGAAAAGTGATGCTGTGACAGATTAAGTGCTGAAAAAGTATAAATATTTTGTGTCATCCATCCATCCATCTCCCAAACGTTTATCCTCGCAGGGTTACTGGGGATGCATTGCAGTGTAGAGTGCAGGGCATGCTTAGAGCCCTGGGTGGAGGTCAGTCCATCACAGGTGACACGCAGTCAGACGCTACAGGCAATGTCAGCCCACGCCTCATGCAAATTCCACAAACACAGAACAGGGGTGGAATTCAAAGCTCCAACCCTGCAGGTGTGAAGCAGCTCACTGACCAGGGGCCATTCCAGGATTTTTTTAAGGTGGGGGGCATAAGAGGGGCCATAATTCATATACAGGGGTAAACCTTATCATTAGCCAATGGGTTGCTCTGAATCAGTGAATGACGGGAGGGGGCAATCCGGGGGTCAATCAGCTTTCAGCTGGGGTCTGTGCCCCTATATTCGCCCTTGTTATTTACCAAGTATAACAGCCCTGATTAATGTCTCCGTCTTTATTTTTAGGGTCTCCCTGGCCCAGCAGGTCACCCTGGCCGAAAGGGGGAGAAGGGAGACTCCTTTGTCCCCTTTGGTCGGGCTGAGAAAGGGGAATTGGGTTTTCCGGGACTGCGTGGAGCTCCAGGAGATGCTGGGAGACCTGGAAGAGATGGTTTTCCAGGGTCTCCTGGGCTTAGAGGACCACCTGTGAGTTTGTGACCTTTTCTTCTCAGCATAAGAACTATACAAACAAGAGGGGGCCATTCGGCCCATCGAGCTCGCTTAGGGAGAACTTAACTAATAGCTCAGAGTTGTTAAAATCTTATCTAGCTCTGATTTAAAGGAACCCAAGGATTCAGCTTGCACTACGTT